AGTAAGAAAAGAACAATTAAATGGAATCTAAAATCAAAAGATTAAATGAATGAATTATGTTATTTGCAGTAGAAAGGATTTGGTCAATAAGCTTGATAAGTAAATGAAAAGATAATACCAAATAATTTTTCATGAAAAAATTTCACTTCCATGTGGATTCTTGTGTGGCATGATGGGTTCTATAATTGTTTGAATATGGTATTTTGACATAAATAATGTCATTTATTGCATGAATACACATTAAAAGTGAAGTATAAGAGTGAAGTGGATACGGTGATAAAAAAATTCTTTTATTAGTAAGTACTACTTTTCCTTTGAGGTTATCATTGGTCCCCTATTGAATTTCAACATGAACAAAGTATTAGTTCAAATCCATCAAGTTTTCATAATTGTATGTTTTATTTCACTTTCACCTCTCTTTTTTTTTTAAGGTTAAATTACACTAACCTCCCATGAGGTTATTGAAAATTACAAAGACCTCCCTTGAGGTTTCAAAAATGACATCAACTTCCCTTTTCGTTTACTTTTGAATTTCAAATGCCCCCTTCTGTTAGTTGACTGTCAATAGCACTGGCTGACTTTGCTGAGGTCATCAATTTACTTTATTATATTTCCTATTTTACCGTCCCTTGCCTACTACCACCTCCACACACTGAGCTCCCCGCAAGTTCTCTTTGCCACAGTGCATCACCACCCAATCCACCCAATATTTGCAGCAACCAGAGCACATTGACTCGTCATGACTCATGAAGGCAACAATCAGAGTACAATTGAATTGCAAGAAGAAGAAACGCACACTATTTACAAACACCCACAAAAATATATATATATGGATACAAAAATTCAGAAATCCAAAAAACTGTATATAAATTCTAGATTTGTACAGTAATTTATAAATTCAAAAATCCAAAATTTGAGAAATATGCAAACCCAATATGTATATTCAAACCCAGCATGTTTATGAGACCTAAGAAATGGAAATAAATTTCCTTCTGAATAATAATTCTATAATAACAAATTACATTCAAAACCTAAAATTGTTATCTATTAAGGAAAATGTATATATCCGGAAAACCCAGTTATAAAAAATAAAAAAAATAAAAAAAAAACACTATTAAAAATAATAATGATTTTATAAATCTCAAATATTTTGGTGGTAAATATTCAAGTGAAAATTAAATATTATTAGAGGGTATCTTAATTAATTTTAAACTATAAAAATATTTATTATTGAAATTCACAATTTTAAGGGCTAATAATAATAGTTTAGGGGGTTGACCATATATGTAGCAGGGAAGGGAACCCTAATATTTTATTTTGTTTTCATTAGTTTTTCTTGAGCAGCCGTTTAGTCAGAGGAGAAGGGAAGATAGTTGTGAACTGTCACACCATTTGTTTGTCGAGTGGATTCATTGTATTGGGTATGCGTTTTTCACATTTTTCTTCCTTGTTTTCTTGATTTCTTATTATTCATGCTCATATTTGCATTGATTGAGGGTTGTCATGATGAAGCAGTGTTGTTGTATGGTGTTTGATTGGGTTTTTATTAATATATATTGGTGCTCATACAGGTAGTGTTGGTGGAATTTGAGAACGTGGGGTATAGGGTTCTTTTTGTGAATTCTAGTGATGGGTTCTCCAATGTAAAAAGTGTAATAGTGGATGTTAGGTGGCTGTGAATAGGTGAGTGTTGCGTTTGAAGGTTTTACTAGTTGAGTGTTGGAAAATAGGAATTAAATTGGTACCTTAATAATGGGTGTAGTTTATATTTTCAAAAGCAAATCTGCACAAACTGTTGACTTTAAAAATACAGTTCTCTTTCGATATAAATCTGAAATTATCAAATCAATGTCATTAGAACCGATTATGAGTCTAGTATCTTGCATTTTTGGTCTTGCGCTGATTGCTCGTGTATATTAAGAGAACCATTAATCTCTTTAAAGTGCTACAGAAAATGACCTATTTGGGTATAGTTAATTGTAACTAATTCTTTTGATAAGGAAATCGAGTGAAACTAATTGGGTTTGAAACTTAGGATATATTAGTTGATATTTGGAGGGTTTTGGAATTTTTCGAATGGCGTGGAGTGGGTTTTTAATTTTCAAAGTTAGCGAATAAATTTTGAAAACTTGTTTAAAATGTTGATGTCTTCAATAATTTGAGACCTTGAAGAACATGAACTTAGATATTATTTAATAGTAATGGTGCGTCAGCTTGAGCTGTGTTAATGCACTTTAGCTTGGGGTTACTTAGTTTATTATTACTTTTAATATTTTTGGAATTAGTAGTGACACGTAGTTTTTCATATTTTGTTAAGGACACTAGTTGAATTTTCGTACTCTATTAAAGGATTATATTGTTCCGTTTTTAGGTGAGTAGTTGCATACTACACATTTTTATAAATGTTCCCTTACCTTGAACTGTTGAAAAATTAAATTGTTGTTTCAAGACTAAACTGTTTTGATAAAATTATTATATTATCAATGGAATTAAATTATTTTTGAAACATGTGTAAACATGGCATACAGTAAACTGTTTTACATAGTTTCATGTTTATAATGGTGAATTACCAATTTATCACACTTTGCGAAATTGAATGGTATTGATTATTAGGACCATCTATATATAAAAGTCCAGGGAATTTATTCCACCGTGAGTAGTGACTCTGGCCACTAGGAAACAAATCCAGGTTGGGTTTTGATGGCTCTAGTGCTCAACGATTGTAAAGAAAAGACCTAGGCTAGGCTAGGCTAGGCTAGGCTAGGTGACCTTCAATCAGATCATCTTAGAGAAAAGACCCAGGTTGCCACCCCGAGGATGACTCGTGGTTCGATATTAGATCCAACAGGCTTATTGCCTTGAGAACCTTGTGGCATGTTACTTGTTAATCATGGTACCCAAATTATTGATGATCATATTGTAATCTATTTTAAGTGGAGAATGTCATTTGTTATATTCTTGAGAGACATGAGTATTTTTAACTATTTAACAATGGAACCTTCTTTTTGAAACAGATTGTCTTCGTCAAAACTGTATGTCAATCTAGTTTCTGTGATATATATCTTATTTTAGAATTGAACACTATTTTCAAAACTATATTTACTATCCGTGCTTCTACTCACTAAGCTATCAGCTAACTTAGTTATTTATCATTTCCAAGTGATAGAAGGACTTAGAGTGGACTCATGGCATAGCGGAGACTCAATTGCATAGACCTTTAGAACATTCATTTATTTTGTTTTAGCTTGTTATGTCAATTTTGTGCATGCTTTTCGATTGAAATTTATTTAGAATTATTTTATTTTGTGAGCGGTTTGTGTCCCACTTAGTATATATTTTTGGAAGTTAGGTTAACTGCATGTATATAAAAACTAAATTGGTATATATTCTATATATATTAAACCCATAAAAAGTAAGTTTATAAAATCTATATTTGTATATACTGTATATATAGAGTATGTATCTATCTGTAAACTATATTAATTTGTATATGTTATATATATATTGTGTGTATATTACATGTATATTGAATCAAAATTAGAGAGAGACCTAGGGTGAAACGAAGCTTTCAATCAAAAACCATGGTGATTGTACTGGTGGGGCATTCCAGCTACGGTTGTGAGCCTATTAGTGGAGTGGGAGGGAGAAGATAAGGGGCGGTGGTTGTTTGTGGCGAAGGTTGTTGCTTCCTGTAGTGCTAAGCTAATTGGTGGTGGGGGTGGGGGTTGATGCTGGTAGAGAAGAAAACGGAAAGGAAAACAGCAAGAAGAAATGAACCTGATGTGTAATGGTGAAGAAGATGAACAACTTGATGGGGAGAAACACAGCTCAGTTTGGGCTAGGCGTCTGTGTATAAAGTTACTTGGTGTTTGGTTATGAAACTATAGAGTGTTGTGTTAGATTAATGTCGTTTGGTTACGAATATAAGATATATGGAGCAAAATGTATTAATTTATTATAAGGATAACTTTGCTAAACACCAGCCTCTGTTAATTGGGTTCGGCTTCACTGACAGGGGAGGTAAGTTACATTTCAAAAACCTCAGAGGAGGTGAGTGTACTTTACCCTTTTTTAATGATTGGTCATAACAGTGTAATTGACATTTTAATGAAAATGAATAAAGTTGAAATAAAATATAACATTATGGAGATATAATTTTTTTTAAACAAGTTATGAAAATAGGATTTTGTTGTCCACATTAAAACTTGATAGAACTCAATAATAACCTTGGGAATAAAAAAAAATTAGTAATTTTGTGGCTAAAAATGTGAGAATGATAATGTTCAAGTAATGTTTTGTTACAAATTATTCAATTAATTTTTGGAATTGTAGGTTTAGAACTTGTTTGGAGATTTTTGCTTCTTGTAAACTATATATTGTTGAACTATGAAACAACAAACCTTATTTTATCTTTTTGAGTTTATGTAATGATTTCTTCATGTTTTAATCTATGTCAAAAAAAAAAAAAAGTGTGTAATTACTAATTTTACTTGCATAATTTTTTATTTTTTTTTAGATATATATAGAGGGCCCCATCTTTACAATTCGATTTGGGCCCCAAAATACTCATCGCCAGCCTGCATTTTGCAAGTCAATTTTAATCCCTAATTGCGCTTACACATCTTCCTATAGGTTCACTACTTGTGTTCCTTCCAAAGCTTCAATTTGTATTATTCCCTTTCAAACATATCCAATCCATACATCAATAATCTATCTACATAATTCTATGAAGAAAAACAAAGCATCTACTCCAAACAATTTCATATATTACATTTCAACCTAGCTGAAAATCCTCATAGGCTCACCAAATTACATTTCGACCTAACTAAAAACCCTTGTAGAGTCACCAGAACAACACAAACGAAACAAATCACTGATTAACAAGAACATGACCAATCAATTTCTACACCAATATAAATATCCAGTCAGTAATATGTATATATATACATGTATATTATGTATGTAAAAGGATAGAGTGAGATCAGAGAGTGGAAACAAACCCTAGAGGAGCTCCAGTACTTCTTGTCCCAAAGACCACTGTATAGAGTTCCGATTGAAATGATTTCGAGACCGTCGCATTTCTCTTCATCAGGTTTAGCCATTGAAGTCATTGAGGACTCTCTCTCTCTCTCGTCACTCTAATATGACAGTAGCTTCTAAAAGAGGGAGAAAATGGTTTAAATGGCGGGAACGTAATTGCGGGTTTTTTTGTTTTTTTGTTTTTTTTTTAATAAATTATATTGACATCCTGAAATTTATGTTTATTATAAATTTTTTTCACTTTTTGGAAATTATATTTTCTTATTGAAGTTTAAAGTTTCATTACAGAATGTTTCCTAAGGTTTAAAATTTTATAACAGTTCTTCTTCACCGTAATAATTATCATACATAAAATTAAATTAATAAAGAATATAAGGGAATAACTGTAATAAGCATAAACTTTAAGAGTTGTCAGTGTAATTTACCTTTTTTTTTAAATTTAGAATAAACTACAAATATACATCATAAAATTTGATTAAAATATAAATTGATCTTATAATTTAAAAAATTATAATCTTTATTTATGTCCAATTGATTAGTAAACGAAGCCTGATTTTGTTACATGCGGTCCAGCTATGGTAAGCCACCGATTGGAACCTTGATTTTGCAGGATTTCAATATATATTATTTATTTAAAAAAATTAAACTGATTTATTAATTATAATATTTTTCTCTTATTATGTTTGTTTTTAAAAAAATATTTGTTGTTTATTTTATTTTTTATTTTTTTGAGACAAATATAATAAAAAAAATAGTGATAAATCCATCATATTCTCACCCACCTCTATAACTCATCAATGACTAAAGTTGAACAAGGAATACGTGAAATCCGTAATCCGATCCGGTCCAGTCCAATCTGATAGGTTTGGATTGATTTTTTGAATCCATGGTTCGGTTCCGGATTAAAAAATTAAAAATTCGTAATCCACATATCGGTTCCGGATTAGAACCGATCCGAACCGTATACAAATAGCCATATTTATATTATATACCATCCTGCATAGTATCTTCTCTTATTCCATATAAAACCTAAACTCACATAGTATTTTCTTTTATTACTTTTGTTTGTTGGTTTTTAGTTTTAATTTGTAACGGTCTAAATACTTATGGTGAAACCAGTTTTCTTATGGTTGTTTAAATTCTAGAATAGTATGTCACTATTATTGAAAGATATGTTGCTATTGTGAAACTAATATGATGTTATATTTATTTTATAGAATTAAAATGTTCTATATATGTATATATTTTTTTTTTGATATTTAATTATGTAAATCAGTGATTCTAAACCGATCCAATCCGTGTTTAAATGGATTGATTCCACGATATAAACGGATTGGATTGGTTCTAATTTTTCAGGAACCGTAGATAACAGATTGGTCCTAATTTTATCTTAATCCAGACCAATCTGGACCATGCTCACCTCTATAAACGACAAGGTTTGATTTATTGGACATATAAGGACATTTCTTGGAAAGTTGTTGGTCAAAGGACATTTGTTGGTTAAAAGAACATTACCATTTATCTATTGAAATTTTTATTTTAATATATTCGTTCAAATATTTTTTTATCTATTCAATTGCTTGAACCTATTTGTTCAAACTTATATCTATATGTTGAAATTCACTAACTTGTTTTTCCTATATGTTCAATTTTTTATTATATCTGTTCAAATTCTCATACATACACACAGATAGATATATATATATATATATATATATAAAGAATATAGAAGAGAGAGAGGTCTTATCTTTCAAAATCGTTTTTTATTTATTGAAAACAAAATCATTTTTACATGTAATTTGACTTCAAAGCCCAAATATAGTTAAAGAAATCAAGATCATCCACAACCTAAATTAAAATCAAAATAAAAAAAGGTCAAAAATAAAAAGGGCAAATGTAATTTACCCAATTTTTATCAGTACAAAAAGATAGAGCAGTGAGCAGAACATATTGTAGTGATAATGGAGAGCACTCAACGATTTGCTCATCATCTTCTTCATATACCCATCTCTAGAAAATGCTTCAAAACCTCTACAAATGTAACATGATGTCCCACATTGGAAGTTTGCATGGGTAATCTTGGGTATATAAAGCACCACTAGCTTGCTACTAAGTAATTTGAGCTTAAGTTTTTGGGTCATGTTGGTCGACCCACAAGTTACTTGGGCTAGCAAATAGTAGGGCGTTATAACAAACCCTACACTCCGTTACACTGTTAAGCTTGGTGTTAACGGCAAAGAGTCATAGGTGAGCTTCGGCAATGACTGGAGGATCTTTTTCTTCAAGCCTTTAGCGGCGGCAGGTGACGGAGGAGTAGTTGCTGTGACGGAAGATAATGAGGTATTGCATCAACCATGGTTTCTAGAGAGAGATATAAAAAGCGAAAGATAGTAGTTTGCGACGCCTTGAAATGTCCCGTAGTAATACTGTTGTAACGGTGGTGAATGACGGAGGAGGAGCTGTTTCGATAGAAGAAAAGAAGGTGTTGCATCAACCATGGTTTCTAGAGAGAGATATAAAGAGAGGGCGATGGTAGTTTGCAATGCCTTGAAATGTCCTATAATAATATTGCCACGGCGACGTCGACCACCGACTCCGGCAACGAATCCTTTACTCTTCTTTCTTTCTTCGCTCATCTCTTTCTGTGATTAAGGTTAGGGTTTCAAGAACAACAACGAAAGTGAAACAAGGATAAGAAAGAGAGAAGTGAAGTTAATTTGAACAAATAGAGAGAGAAAGATGGAAGAGAGAGAGAGCGAGAGAGAAATGGCTTTGCGTATAGAGAGAGTTTAATTTGAATAGATAGACACACGTGGATCCAAACAAATATAAATGCGCGTGGACAATCCTTATAGACCCAACAAAAAGGCACATGGATCTATAGGCTTACAAATCTATAAATAGGACTTATGGCCTAAGCACCCTGAAAAATGAAATATTACAATTATCGAATCTAATTAATTTTTTCCATATGTGATACACATTATGAGTCTTGCAAAATAAACAATTTGAATCATCAAAACTAGACTCGTGGTGAGCTCTACAAACCCCTCAAGTTCTCTCAAGTTGAGATATGAACTTAAGAGAAGCCTAATCCTTAACAATTCATGAGATTAGTCGGATTAGTTATTCAAGTGGATTAGTAAGATAAATAATTCTCTCTTGTCCATACTTGTTTTGCTATGAATATGAAAATATACATTCTTAATTATATGTTTATTTTGTATTATCAGTTGTAGTATTAAAAAAATGGTCAATTTTGTTGGATAGAATGTCCATTAAAATCTAGTTCAAATAATAAAAATTACAACTAAACAATTGAATGTGTGTTCCATGGATTAATAATCCATCATATGATATAATTCAGCTAATCAAAACAGGTCTTTGAGGTATGAGGTAGTGTTTTAGGATAGAATGAAATAAAATAAAATGATCATTGTAGCTAAGTGTTTGTTTTCATATTTGTTTGATTAAAAGAAATTAAAAAAAAAATAAGAAAAATTATATATATATATATATATAATAAGATCTGACAATTGTAACAAAATAATCTTGATTTTATTTTATTTTGTCAATCTAAACAATGATAATCTAAGCCATCATTCTATTTTCATTCAGTAAAATCAATGGAAGAATAGTATTTTAGTCATTAAACTCACTGAAAAAATGTCTAAATACATTTTTTTATTGAGTTTAATTACTAAAATACTTTTTTTTAATCAATTTTTCTTAACAGAAATAAATAGATGGTTTAGATTAAAAACAAATCAAAAGTTAATAATTTTAAATTTACAAAATTAAAGATTTATAGTTTATTTTGTTAGAAGAATCAAATCCTAATTTTATTTTATTTTTTGTAATTTATTATTATTTATCATTGTAATAAAATGATCATTTTAGGAATTAAAGAATGATCATTTTATTTCTTTCTAGTGAACTAAACAAGTTATAAAAGTGATTTGGGCCATTTTATTTTTATATCAATTCGGTGACTAGTTGTGATGGTTGAACAAGAAAACCCTCTATTCGAGCAATACTAGGGACCCTAGATGAATTACCAAATATTCTATACAATATTCACATGGGTGTACGACTGTGGGATCTCTCGGAGGATATCCGAGCGCACTCGACAGTTCAAACCCCTGTCCAGTTTCATGAGTGCAATGTGAAACAAAATGAGAGTTCGAATTCGACAAATACATAGAAAACCACTAATCATACGAAGTGCACTTGGACTAGACTTGGAGTTGTGACCTAATGTTTTGGGAAAACTAACCCATGACTCATACCATAAGGCCACTGTTTGTCACAACCAAAAAGTCTCAATTTGGGGACTTAGGTATGAAGGGGAAAGGTCATAAATTGAGCATCCTTGCTCACCCGATCAAAGATTGGCTTCTACTGATTCATTCCCAATATATGCTCATGTTCTAATTATTAGCACTACTTTACTAAATAGAGAAAACAAATATAGACTAAATCACTTGTTTTGTAATACTTTGATCGCATGCATTTCGAAAAGGATTTGAGATGTGCAACTCTAAAAAAAACAAAAGTTCATATGCACAAAGAACAACATCATCCCAAATTAAGAGAAAAAGCATCCGCCCACTATCAATCAAAGAGGTATCTCAGATAAGCACGTAACCACATGGTAGAATGCTAGATGTAGTAAAGAAAAGAAACATGCACAAGCAAGATGCTAAGATGAAATAGGCTTACCTAGTACTCCTTTGCACCCACCAAGTGCAAAAATGTTATAAAACATGCATGATCCTAGATACAATAGGCTAATGCAAATACATACACAAGAAAGCAAATAAAGACTCGGCCACTAGCATATGACATGTGAACCATAGCAAGACATGGGATTGCACATTAAATCACATAAAGAAATGATAAAAATACTAAGTATAATGAGTTGAGCCTTAATACATGAAAAATGGATGCAGAGTATAGAGATGATGAAAAGAAAATATGATGCCAAAATAATATGGAAAGCCCAAATAAAAGGGATATAGAGAGCAGAGAGAGAGAGAGAGAGAGATGCATATATCTAAACTAAAAAGAAGAAATATAACCATACAATAGAAGCAAACTACTAACTAGAATAAAAGCTACC